TGCCTACCATTGAGGCTCATTTAAAGCAAGACGATTTGCAGGTGTGGGAAATAACTGCATCCCATATGGATGATGTGGAGCTGTGCAGTGGCAGTGTAGGGCTATGTGAATATACCTACTATTGGAATACCAGTGAGCCATTCTTGAACAACATTCATATTTTCCTTTACATAGCAACTGTGTATTTTTATGTAGTTACTATCTCATCACGTTCCTGTAAGAAAGATGATTTACTGCTTTGTAGAAACTCAAATATAATTTTTATTGAAAGTATATTTAGATATTCTCTTCTCAAAAATATCCTTCGTAATCTCAAATTCTTAAAACAATAATTTTCAACTCAAATGATCAGATATAAAACAAAATATGGGATAAATAACAAGTACTTTATTTAAAAGCTCTTATTAGGCTGTATGAAAAACAGGACTGTGACAGTTATATTCAACACATCCTTACTTTGTATTTATTTCCCCCTGTGATCCCAAAGGAAAAGATAAGGGTTGAAGACAGTAGATGATGTTTTCTTTTTAGGTGGAAATTGGTCTTATGACTTGAACTACTGGAGCAGATTGTTTGGCAGTTCCTGGAACTCCTCAATAAACAGAAATTAGATTCCTGCTCTTGTGTTGTGTGGGTAAATTGCTTTTTTTAAACCTATAGAATTTTTTTCTACCTTTGAGGGTAACGTAATTGACTTCCAATTCAGGTTTATGAAGTTGTTTGTTATTTTTAAAGCTTTTTGTTCCCCTCCGGTGGATTGAGTGACACATTAGAAAAGTAGGAAAGAAATCAAATTTTAAATAGATGGAGAAAAATCATATTTGCATAGAAAATAATAAAACGTATTTTTCACGATCTTTGTTCTGCAGCTGTAGCGCTCTCTGTTGTAGTTAGTGAGTATGATATTTCTGAAGAGAAAATGTATTTATGCAGAAATAATGGTGATGTTTCGTGGTACATGTATTTAAGCAGGAAAATTGTTAAATGATATTTATAAGTCCTACATTTACCTTGCCCTTTGTGAGGCAATAGCCACATATAAGCATTAGCTCTTTAAATGTTGTTTCAGCAGAACTCAGTATTAGTCTACTGCTTTGAGTTTTTTCAACTATATATCTTTCTTTTTATTTTTTTGTACTGATTGATATGTACTGTGATAACTCAGGAATGTTTTGCACTTGCACTGCAGGAACAGTCCTGGCCATGTGGTCTTGTTTGTGCTGGCACAGCCATGTGTGTGTGGGCAAGGTGAAATGCGTAAGGGAATGCATTCAGATTAAAAGCCAGTCTGGCTAAAAATAAAAGCAGTTTCTAACCTGAATTTATTCCCTTGTCTGGTTTGTGGTGCAGCCATGTGAAAACTGGTGCCAGTAGCAATGAGAGCTGAAGAATAACCAGTGAGGAGAGGTCAGGGGTGCCTCTTCTGGTGGCAATGTCAACTGATGTCACTTGAATCCTTGTGTGCGTCACGCACAGGGTATTGATGTGTTATTTGAAGAAAACCTGCTGCTTTTGAGCTCCTGAGGTCAAGTCTGTTTTGTTAAAATGTGTCATTCCTCCAAGCCAGAGCAAGACCTGGGTATGTGGTGTTTCTCCTCTCCATCTCACCTTTCCTCGTTGTTCAGTGTAGAGCAGCAATGAAGCACTGAGGTTGTAAGAAAGTTACCTGCGACATTCTTTCTAATCACTGCTCTGGCTGACATTATTGTTAAGAGTTTTGCATTGTTAACTTCATATAAAGTGTTTTTGCTTGTCCTCATTTTAATGTAGTCAATAGAATTTAATTTTATTTTTTTTTGGTGGATTTGCTGTATGAATTCTTGCAGTTTCGTGTCTCCAGAAATTAAAATGTCGAATCAATTGGCATGAGTAGTTTGTGTGTTTTATTCAATATTTGCCACTAGGGGACACTGTTGACCACTACATTTTCTGTGCAAGAATGACAGCTGTAATGAAAGACCCAAATGTGTTTTCATATTCTGACTGGAGGCAGCGTTTTCATAAGTCTAAGCTCTTCCCTGATCAAAGAGTACTTAATAAATTGTTTATTTTTAAGCACTTTCAGATTCAAATTAAGTGTTTCCCCCAGTGATTTATCAAATTAGAATCTTGCTGAGGTTACAATTCTATTACAGTATCTATTATTAATGCTTAAGAAATAATATACTGAATTGTTCATGCTCTCCTTAGACCTCATTCAAATACCATTAATCTTTTCTGGGTAGAATGCATAATGAACAGTGGGAATTGATTGTCTCCATCATCTAATGAATGGAAGATAATTTGGATACAAGTAGACATCATCATTCTTCTATAGAGTACCTGGGAAAAGTTGACAACTGGTTAGTACAGATTATTTGCCTGGTCGTTGTGTGTAAGAAGTAATGGTAACAAGTTGTTCCAAAAATGATGATACTCATTGGAAAATTATAGTCTTTACCCCCTGAAGAATAGTATGTTATAAAATTATGAACTTGATGTAAGTTGCTTAGTTAGTTTATTTAGTAAACTTGAGCAGCTTTCTACTCTAAATGCTTGCCTGATCTTTCCTTGTCTCAGTGTAAACCTTTATGTTCAGAGCATCCTTTTTCAGAATTCCTTGCCAAGGAGATCTGATAGTTTTTACATGAAGAACTATCTACTCTTCTTTGAATGTAGCTTCTTCAAGCTGCGTTTAATAAATGTCAGTTCTTATATTCAAAGAGACTGCAGACTCTTCAAAGCCACCCTCTCTATGTCACTTATTTTATAGACATTTATCATTCACTTCCAAATTGTCTTTTCTTCCAAGTCCTAGCCAACTCAATAGTTCCAATTACAGAAGCCATTTGGTCCCTTTGAACATCCTTATTACTCTTCTGTAAGCAGTGCCCAGTTCTGCTTTTTGAGTAGGACACACAGTTTTCTAAGTGTAGCCAAAGCACTGATTTATACAGTGGGATAATGGTGTTCTCTGTTTTTATTATATGATTTGCTTTTTTGACCGTTGCTGAGTGTTGAGGTAATATTTGCATGGGCTGCCTTAATATGGGACTTTACTACTGACTAGTGATGGTTAGTTGAGAATTTTCTTTTTAGTCAAGCTAGAACATGGCTTACATAGTTTTAAAATTCATCTGTGTTGAATTTGATGTCATTTTATTGCTCAGTCACACGGTCAGACAAGAACTTGTTCTATGGTTCTTCAAACCTGATCTTACTACTTCTGCCCTCCAGAAATTGCCTTTATCAGCAAACTTTCTTCACTGCTAATCCTCCTTCAGGATCATTGTGTTCATTGGGTACCAGCAGAAATCCTTGTGATACTCCATGGATTACATCCTTCCCTTTAAGTGGCCATTTACTCCTGTCTACTATTTCTTACTGTTTCTTACTATCTCTCAGTCAATTATTTAGCCATGCAAAGGCCACCTTTCTCCTGCTACAACACTCTACTTAAAGTTTCCTTAAAAGTCATTGGTGAGGAGTTTCATTACAAGCCTTGTGAAAATCCATGTCAGTGTAGCAGTTGGATCACCTCCTCTTGATATCTTCAAGGACCTTTCATAGGTTTGTAAGACAGGCTTTGTCTTATGAAAGCTGTACTGGTTTTTATGAGTAGATGGGAATTTTTCTATCTGTTGACTACTTCTGTCCATTCTTACAGTTCCT